GCAAACCGTTTAGCCTGGGCTGCGGTCCTAAGGAGGGCCGCCTTGGCCTGGCGCCAGATACGACGACACCGCCGGAAGTGATGCTGAACGGACGGGACCAAACAGTCGGACTCAGAACTAGGAAACAGGGGAGGAAGGTAGCCGAGGGAAGCTTCAAAGGGGGACATACCGGTGGCAGAGGAGCGGAGGGAGTTGTGGGCATACTCTACCCAAACCAAGTGCTGGCTCCAGGATGATGGGTTGGACTCGACCAGGCAACGCAGGGTGGACTCCAGCTCCTGATTGTAGCGCTCAGCTTGTCCGTTAGCCTGAGGATGGTAACCAGAGGTGAGGCTAACGGACGCCCCAAGCGACTTGCAAAAAGAGTGCCAGACCTGTGAAATGAACTGCGGGCCTCGGTCAGAGACGATGTCAGAGGGAATCCCATGGATCCTAAACACATGGAGGGTAAGAAGGTGAGCAGTTTCAAGGGCAGAGGGGAGCTTAGGGAGGGGGATAAAGTGAGCGGCCTTAGAAAAACAGTCAACAACCGTGAGGATGGTGGTGTTGCCATCAGATGGGGGAAGACCGGTCACAAAGTCGAGGGCGATGTGGGACCAAGGGCGACTAGGGGTTGGGAGGGGAAGCAGGGGACAAGTCAGGTGAACCTCTGAGCCATTGTCATCCAGGCTGCGATGCGAGACAAGGCAGACAGCAGAAGAGGCACACGGGTTGAGGGTGACGTCAGACACCTGCAGAGGGAGCTCCTCGTCTCCTGAGGCAGGTCTGTCCCTCCGGCCTCTGCGATGCTGTACGTCAGCGGTGCAACGTTATTGTTCGCTACAGTCGCCTGGAACGCATGCTGGTGAGCTCGGTTGGAGAGCGACGTCACTGTCTGCTCATGCCTCCCCGGAGGTGCAGGATGCTTGTCCAACCTGGACATCTTTGCTCCGAGAGCCTCTGCCAAGCTTGACTCCAGGGGGGTCACCGAGGGCATTTCCGCTTGGTCAAACCCCTCCACTCTGGTGATGGGCGCAGATGTGGAAACTGGTGCTCTCAGTCTACCAGGTCCGGCTGTAGCCTCGGTCCAGTAGGACGTCACTGCTGGGAAACGAGGCCAGATGGGATCAGGACGGCGAGCCGGGGTGGAGCCAAAAACCTTCCCGCCAGATCATCCGATCTGGGCGGGGGAAGGAGAGGGATGGAAAAAAGTCCCTTCATGTCAGCCGCATCCTGGATTATGCCGGGCAGCTCCAGAGGAGGGCACCGGCGGCTGGGAGCGGTGTGGTCGCCGATGCGAAAAAGGTCCGTGGGGGGGGGGGGGGGGGGGGGGGGGGGGGGGGGGGGGGGTTGAGCATTCGCTCAGCTCCCCTCGTTCCAACACTATGCTCTCCAGGAGGGAGTGAGCAGCGGGGGTTGCTTTTGACGTCGCCTGTCCCGGAGGAACCATTCGATTCGCTCCAAGAGCCAGCAATAAAAGTAAAAAGGGGGTTGATGGCGTCGTCCAGCGTGTAGCGACCTGCCACTGAGAAATATTCCTAGGCGCTTACCTTGAAACAAGACTGCTCATCTGCTTCTCCTCGGGGAGGAGAACTCACTGGGATGGCAGGAGGTTGGTGTGGTGGGACCACAGGCAGCCTTAACAAAGGTTGAACTGGTCAAGCTGGACAACTTCCCTTCTTCGTTCTTCTGACAGTGCTATTAGCTTGCTGAAGAAAAATGGGAGCCGATTACCCGCTCTTAACGTAATTTATATGGACCGGGTGGGGCCCACACAACAAGTGGGCGTGGGCTAATTTTTTTCAGTGCGATGCTTTGCATGATGGGATAAAACCCACCAGTGACAGCCTTAAAGGGCGAAGCCTATACGAACTAGAACCTTTTTAGTCTGCCACCCTCACTTGTCCCCCATCTGTAATCCCCCAGGTGTTTGTTGTTTAGGTTTTATTAGTGTCACTTTGCACACTCGCTCCTCGGTTTGCTTTTCAGTTCAGCATTAGTCGTTTCACATCATCACATTGCTCCTTGTTGTTCCTCCTCCATGTTCCCGTTTTCTTAGTTTTAGTTCGTAGAAGTTTTGAATGCCTGGTCAGCACTTTTTGCCTTACTTTGTTCAATAAAACTTTTTTTAGTTTCACCTCAAAGCTCTTCATTTCCAGTCTGCATTTGGGTCCAAATTTCCATTTCCACCAACCTACTGACAAGGACCCAAACATACAGACTGAACACAAGCCCTTAGTTTGAAACATTTTAGGAGTTTATTAACAAAATAAATAGCTGACAATGTAGCATATGAAAAACAATCAGTGCGTTCATATTTTCTGTTACTGACGGATTTGAATAGTGAATCTCTGTAATTTTTGAGATGAGTATGTTTCTTCATACGATAATAAATGTGTGGGTCAAACAGGCAGTAGATCTTCCCTAGAATGCCATAACCATCAAACAATCACCACACACAAAAAGATTATGAAAATAGTCTTGATTTATGCATCTACTCCTAAAAAGATCCCCACCCCAAGCTAAAAAGGAGGCCTAAAGGTTAGATTAGTTCACTTTGTTCACTTAGCTCACTCAGATAGGAGACCAGGGTCTAAGCTTGTGATGTCGTCTAACACCCCGGGGATTGACTTAGCTGGACGAAGATCAGACCTCCTGAATTGGCTCCACACCAGATTAGAGCATGTGACAGAAACAACAGCTCACAGGAACAGAAGCAGGAGTCCAAGGTGGTGACTGCACCCTACTAAAGCCCAGCTCTAACTGTCTAAAGGAGGCACCCAGCCTCCCCTCCTGACACAGGAACAGTGTCTTGCTGTCTTTGACGCTGGCAACCCTAACTGACTGCGAACGACACCCTACCTCCAAAAGGGTGCTGCCACAGCCACTGCAAAAGCTCATCCCTCCTCAATTTGTTTGAGAAACCTTTATCTAAAGTGCTGCTCCTCTACTGATTGAACACACCTGCCCTCGATCAGTCGCCTTGCCTCTACTGATGAGTCCTGCCTAAGCACATCACAATACCTTCATGTTTTGGGTGTAAGATATTGAAGTGGGTAGGAGTTGCATCATGGAGAAGAACAGAAGTAGTTTTTTTCTTTGCTTATCTTTTCCTGTTCAACCTCCACAATCATTTGAAGAAACTATACTTTTTTAAACAGTCTTTTTTATTGATTTTTTGATTTTTTAACATAAAAACAAAAAGGTGAACACACAGAACAAAAAAAAACCTCCCTCTCCTCCCCACACCAGATCAGTCAGTCACACACCCCCCCCACTCCCCCCACTCCCCGTGTTAAAAGATTCTGGGACATGTGGAAAACTTGTCAATGCCTGTTTAGTTTATATATATATATATGTGTACATATATAAACTAAACAGGCATTGATAAGTTTTCCACATATCCCAAAATCTTTTAACAGAACCCTTCAGGGTACATCTGATTTTTTCCAAATGAATATAATACATCTGTTGTCCAGTGAACATATGTTGGGTGTTGTGGGTCCTTCCAACTGCACAAGACAAGTCTCCTGGTCAGAAAAGAGTCAAAAACAATCACATCCTTCGCATATGCACTGAAGGACGTATCCACAGGGACTATATTCAAAAGCCGACAATCTGACTCCAAATCCGCCCAAATTATCCTCACCAGCCCAAAGCAATTTTGACCCACAAAATCAGAATGAAAACCGCCCAATCTGGCAACACTACCACTGAGGCGCTCCACAGAACACCACAGGAAGTCCTTCCTCCCTGTGGCTATCAAACTTTTCAACTTCTCCCCCTTTATACACATGCTAGAATAAAATTAGCCATGGTTAATAGTGGACATCACTTTAATGTTTCTGTTTGCACCTGACCTGTTTTAGAACGTAATTGTTTTTATTTTTTATATTCTTTGTTATTTTTTATATATTGTGTGATTCTCGTGTCCTTTGTTCTGAAACTCTGGCACAACAATTTCCTGCAGGTCAATAAAGTTCTATCTTATCTTGTCTTAAGCTGTGGCTGCAGTGAGCGTGGCCATCTTGGCATCAATATGGCCTCATCCCCTCTGTTTCCTTCATGTCAATTCAGGTCTGCTCTATTCACCTCTCTCTCCTCCCTGGGAATACTACTTCATAATATCAATTCATCCTGATCCTTTCAAAATGTACCTTTCTCCTCCACATCACATCTAACCTGTGGAGCATAACCACTGACAACATTTACAATTAGACCTTCTATTTCTATTTTTACACACATCACCCTTCTGACACTCTTTTCACCTCTACTACATTCTTTGCCAACTCCTCCATCAGGACCACCCCATTCCATTTCTCACCTATCCACACCACTATCAGGGGGTGGTCCTGATGGAGGAGTTGGCATTACCATGGTGTGGATAGAAAAACATCCTTCATGGTTTGAACCCTGCACCAATGTTGTGAGCCTTGCTGCCCTTCCACTTGGTTTTTGGACACATAAAACATCTACCTTCCTTCTCTGCATTATGTCAGGCAGCTCTCTAACTTTGCCTGTCATTGTCCCCACATTTAGAGTTGCAACCCTCAGTCCTACATTCTTGACCCTATTCTTCTCCCTCTGTCTCCTGACACGTTTCCCTCATCGTGGTCTATGACTAACAGTAGCACAATTTCTGCCAGCACCCTGTTTGTCAACAGCACCAGTGGCGGTCGTTGTTTACCCGAGTCTCCACCGATCCGTTATGGTTCCACTTTGATGAACTCACGCTATAGTTTTGCCAAAAGTGTTATACGTCGAAAACCCTTCCTGACACAACCGTCACCATTTACCCAGGCTTGGGACCAGAACCAGAGATGCACTGGCTTGTTCTTCCAAGTGCCTGGTTCATCTGTTTATACTGTTTGTACTGTTTATCTATATCTAAAGACCAGAAAATATGTTTTTATGTCCATAACATTGACTTTTAGAATTGAAAAAGTGTACTTTTACATTAAATATGTTTGTATCTAAAATTTTATACCTTTAGCTGTGATGTCCTTATTTGCTGCTTTCAGAGAGAAGACCCCCTGGCAAACCGTACCATCCTCTATGAAATGGTGGCACTGTATGACTACACGGCTCAGGGCCCAGAGGACCTGGAATTCAGTGAAGGAGACACCATTGACATACTGGGTGAAGGTGAGGCCTTGCAGTTTGATGGCCCACCTCTGTGGAACTGAGCTTAATTTTCCTTTTGTGCTTTTCGCTTCTCAGAAGTCATTGACTGTCTACATGCTCTTTCCTGTCACTCTTGCAGTTAATGAGGAATGGCTGGAGGGACACTGTGGAGGAAAACTTGGCATCTTCCCCAGCTGCTTTGCCTACCGGGAGAATGAAAACTTCATGCAGAACTCAGATTCTTAAAAGCAGAGATTATTCTCTGCAGTCGTCTGGACTGAACCGCCTACCCTCTGAACAGGGATATATTTTATGCTTTAGATACAAAACAACATCCTTCCAGAACCAAAAACATAGAACCAGTATTGACAGTAGGTCATATACTGTGGAATTCATAGTTGCTGTGCTGCTGGCTGCACAGGTTCATTACACTGAAGGTCACACCCACATTTTCAATTTTTTTTTTTTTTCTGAAACAGCTTCAGCTTCCAGAGGTGGACAGTAAAAAATAACGTTTTGCCCAAGTTTGTGTTTGCATGTTACCTTAATACATATAAAATACTACACAGATTTAATGAAACTTATGAAAAAATAATCACTGGCTGTTCATCTGTTCAACTGATACAGTTTTGGAATCACCCAAATTCAAGATGGCCACCACAACTAACAATTAAAACAACGTAATTATTCAGTTAGCTTTATAGAAGAGATATGCATTCATTCAAGGGATGTCAGGCCTTTTATGTTTATGAATATTTTCTATCTGTATTTGATGACACAAATACTTTTCTTTCATCTTACCAGAAAGTAGACAAGATCAGGGTTATCAATACACACACACACACACACACACACACGCACGCACGCACACACACACACACACACACACACACACACACACAAAAACACACACACCCCTGTTGGTAAATGTAAACTATAAGGACACCTTTTTCCAAAAAAAAGTTTGGTTGGTTAATTATGGGGACACCACTTTCTGCTTACTCTGGAGAAGTAGTAACCATTTCAAAAAATCTATTTAGAGTCCTCCATCACAGATCTAACTTAAAATTTTGAATACACACAACACAACCTAAAATATAATGACCTGACTAAATGCAAACTTATAAAGACATACATAATTAGTTAATAAGCCCCACCAATTACATAAAGATATATTTTAAGGGACTAATAGGATTTGTAAGGACATTGTCTATATAAATCCAAAAATGTCCCTAAACAGTGCCAAAGTTACAGAAGAAACAAAAATACACTGCATTGACAGTTATGTGCATTAGGCAAGTTATGTGCATTCAATGAAGTGCTCTCAAACTTCCTGGTAGATTGACCTTGGACCTCAGAAAACACATTGGATTAACACCAGCAGATTACATTTTACCCCAAACCATCACTGACTCTGGAAACTTGACAATGTACCTCAAGCAATGAGGATTCTGTACCTTTTCTCTCTTCCTCCAGACTCTGGGACCTTGATTTCCAAAGTAAATGCAAAATTTACTTACATCAGAGAACATAACTTTGGACTGCTCAGCAGCAGTCCTGTCTTTTTGTCTTTAGCCCAGACAAGATGCTTCTGAAGGTGTTTCTTGTTCAAGAGGAATGTGACAGCTTAAACCCTTGTCTTGTATATGTGTGTGTGTGGTGGTTCTTGATGCACTAACTCCAGTTGCAGTCTACTCTGTGAATCTCCCCCAAATTTTGGAATGTATCACAGTCCTCTCCAGTGTGCAGTTATCCCTATTGCTTGCACAGTTTTTTTCTACCACATCTTTTCCTTCACTTCACCTCTCAATTAATATGCTTGGACACAGAGCTGTGTGAACAGCCAGCTTCTTTATCAATGATTTTTTTTTGTGTGTGTGTTTTGCCCTTTTGCGAGTAGTAGTCAGTGTCATCTTTTGGACAACTGTCAAGTCAGCAGTCTTACCAATGATTGTGTAGCCTACATAACTAGACAGAGAGACCATTTAAAGCCTTTGCAGGTTTTCTGAGTTACTTATCTAATGAGAGTGTGGCACCAGGTGTTTTAAATTTTGAATCTTTTCATAATATTCTAATTTTCTGAGATACTAAATTTGGGGGATTTATTAGTTGTCAGTTAACATTAAAAGAAAGAAACTTTTGAAATACTGTATGTGTGTAATGAATGAATATAATATACAAATTTCCCTTTTTGAATTGAATTACTAAAATAAATCATATTTTTCATGATATTCTAATTTTATGACCAGCACCTATATCTCCTCTTCAGCCTTCCTCTTTGCATTTTCCACACATAAACAAACTCGGTCCTACAAGCAGCACACTCCAATAGTGAACCAACCAAATTGCTGGTGATACGATGGTTTCTGGGTCCTGCCCTGTTCCCTGTCAACTCCTCCAAGGCAGCCATAGCCAAAGAGTTCAAAACATGCTCCAGGTTCATGCTCCAGATAGAAAATCCAACAACCATCATATCACTAGCAAACTGGTTGGTTTACTATCGGAGTGGGACTGAGTTTGTTTGTGTGTGGCTCCTCGGATTGCTGAAGTTCTTTGGATGAAGAATGAAACGTCTGAACAATAAAAGAAACCATTCAGATGACCTGACTGAATTTTGTTGGATTTGCTACCTGGGTTACTGAGCATGAACTTTGATGTTCTTAATGATCTATCGTCAGATTCAGCCTGATATGGATTCCTCTGATTCTGTTTCCCATTTCAGTTTAAGGGAGTCCAAACTGGTCTCATAGTATGAACTGAGCAGAGTACAGATCTTGCTGAGCCCCCCCCCCCCCCCCCAGTATTAGAGCTGCATTCCAAAATTTTAACCACAAAATATTTAGAAAGGTAAGAAAGAAAGAATTAGACCTCAGAAAATGTCTCAGCAAGAAACATCTGAAAAGCTGTGACTTGTGGATTTGTGTAGCTGGATCTGCACCAGCTGTTCAAAAAAGGCAAATTTATCAACATCGAGATCATATAGTGAATGTACTCCCCTCAAGATCCAGGTATCAAAAGTTGTATCAGCAACTGAGGGAGTAAACGTATGATTATTTGACACAGGTGCCAGAACTCTGTACAGACTCTGTAGCCCTCTTGAATTGATTCCAAATCTTAACAGCCCAGATCACAATTGGGCTAGACATGTAAGTTGATGTTGACAGTTTAAAAGGTAGCCCAGAGCAGAGTAATGCAGAAGAGGAGATGGATCTAAGTGAGGCCCTCTCCAAAGCCACCCAACCAAAATAGTAGAACTCTGATATTATCTGCCATGTAATAGTGATTGGCATATTCTGAAACAGGTATAGAAATTTAGGTAGGATGTTCATTTTTACAGAGCTTATTCTACACCCCATAGTACGGATTGCCATCTAATTATGTCCTGAGAGGTAGAAAATTGGTTTTATAGAGGTTCTTTTGATGTCGAGTTACCATATGCCACGTTATTTATTTGTTTTTTAAACTTGTCTAAGATTTTTTTTCTATAGAAGTCACAGGCTTTTCAATAGATGTCACAGCTCGCTCTTTTCTTATTCGATCTTATAGCCAGATATTTTCCCGAATTTCTGAAGCAAAGTAAGTAATTCCGTAATTCATGCTGCAAGAGGTTCTGATATATACAAAAGCATGTTATCCACATATAAAGAAAGTTTGTGTTCTGTACCTAATCCTTTTATCCCATTAATTATGGAGTTTTGCCATAAAGCTACAGCTAGTGGTTCTATCGCTAACACAAATAGTGAGAGTGAGCACCCCGTCTCGTACCTTGTTACATTTCGAAGTATCTGGAAATATTACATTTAGTGCAGAATGCTGCCATTGGGGAGGTAATAAATCAGCCTCACCCATGACCAAATATTTGGGACCAAATTTAAATAGCTTTAATGTCTCAAAGAGATATCCCACTTTAGCACACCTGTGATGAAGTCATTAGACGCTAAGAAAGCATTTGACCACCTGGACTTCATCTTAGGTGTGCTCGGGTGGACACCAAGAAGCCGTCTAACATTGATGAAACCCTAATGGTTTTTAACAAACACTGTCTGGTCAGGCAGGACAATGGTGGGGACCACCCGCTCAAGTCATTTTGCCAGGATCTTTCCAAGCATTTTTACACAGTATTTAAAAACAAGATATATGAGCCGCAGTTTATAGGATATTTATCTTTGTTAGGTAATAGCGAAATTGTAGGTTGACACGTGGACAGTGGCAATATATTTGCCACAAGTGACTCTTCAAACACAGACCTTAATAAAGAGTATGTTTCATTTCTTAAACAGATGGAAAGCCATCTGGTCCGGGGGATTTCCCATTTTTATTATCGTTGATTGTGGAAGTTTATCTTATGTACAGAGTGCTCCCTCTCCAATTCCCCAGCAAGATCAAGATTCACAGAAGGAAGTTTAAGCCCTTTAAAAAAGTTCTCCAGGTCATAAAGGCTAGCTGATGACTCGGTCAGATCTTATTCTTCTTTCGGCTTTTCTCTCTTCAGTTTTTGCCACAGCTGAGCCATTTCAGCTGCTGCTGCTGCTGTGTTCTTTTTTTCTCCCTGATTGGTTGGCAGCACTAATCATACTCACCTGCTACAGATGACTCATCTGCTCACTGACTTTATAAGGATTCACTGTGGATCAGGACTTCGCTGAAGCAACGCTTATGTTTGAGTGGAACTCCCTGAGCCTCCTGAGAAACACTCCCCTGAGATCTGAGAGCAACTCACCTGAGACCATCTGCACGCTGCCTGTCTGCCTCCTCCACAAACCTGTAAATATTCACCAGTACACCTGCACCTGTAAATACACCTGGAACCTGGAAACTCACCTTCAGAGCTGAAGAATCTGCACCCACCTGTAAGAAGACATTACTCTCCAACTTACCTGACGAATCTGCTCCACAGAAAACTAATCCTCGTTCTTACCACTTTCAGATCCCGACCCCATCCTTCACTGGTTTAAATAAACATTTTTTTATAAACTTTTCTGAACCTGCTGTTGTTCTGGGTTTACCCACATTGACCTCGTTTAAAACCTGATAACAGTGAGTCATCCTCCTCCATCTCAATTATCCTCTGAATCCTCTGTCCTTACTCCAACTACCTTCACTAACTCTAACTGCATCTGTATGTCTTCTCTTTGGCCTTCCTCTTTGTGTTTTTACTGGCACCTGCATTTCAAACATCCTTCTACCAATATATCCACTGTCCCTGCTCTGGTCATGTCCATATCATCTCAGTAACTCTATAACTT